CACGCTCTCAACAGACAGCATTGCTGACAGTAGGCACTACAGCACCTGCTTTTGAGAGATGAGGTGTCGCCTAGTCAGCAGCAACAGCAGCAGCAGAAGCAGTGGCGAAGTTATCAGTTTATCAAAAATCATCACCACCTCGTCACCACCAGCACCACCAGTGCGCAAGGTCAATGCAGCGGTGTGATCACTTCAGTTCACTCATTCATGCATTCATTCACTCATCGTCATCATCACCATCTCAAGCTTTCACCTTTCTCTCAAGTTGCCACTACCACCACCAAAATACCACAATCGGTACTTGATCTTCTCGATGATGCGACTCTGGAACCTTCTTCGAGAGTACCTCTGCTGCTGCTGGAAGCCGCGCTCGGCGGTCGATGAAGATGCAGACGCTGCAAAAAAGGCAAAGTTCGCTGAAGAGAAGTCTGCCTCTGGTCCTTCGTCGCAGCAGCAACAGCAGCCTAGCAAAGATGAGGCCCACGTCGAGGACCACCAGGACGAGGACCACGAGAGCGAAGAGGAGGATGAGGATCACTCGAAGGAGACCTTCATCGTGGACAGCACCACTGGCGACAACGACTACGAGGATGAAGATGAAGAGGAGGAGAAAGATGTAAAAAAGGGCGGTTAGTACTGTTCTATTCTATTCGTTTTCGCCTTCTGAAGCCACTTTGTTTACACTTTCCTCATCCTTAGACGTTTTCACTGCTAAGGATGTTGCTGCCGCCAGCGCTGACCAGCACCACCGATCCGGCTCCTTCGAGGTCTCCCGGAACAGCTCCGTCTCCTTCAGCAGCCAACAACAACAGCAGCAGCAGCAGCCTTTAACTGCATGTGCCCAGCAGCAGGCCTGGTCACCGCCGACCTGGTATCCCTCGCCGAGCCGCTTTCTAAGCGTCGAGGCACCGCCGGCACAACTTCTCTCTGAGCCCTTCACTCTGCCGCCCATTTCGCCCATTCTGATGGATCAGGAGCCATCAACTGCTGCCACTGCCACTACTCAAAAGATCGCCAATCGAGGACTGATCAAGCGCGTCCACGCCGTCGGACCGGAGGTCTTCAAGCAACAGCAACAGCAACAACAGCAGCAGTCCACGCCAAAGCCGAAGCGTCGAAGGATTGAGACTGAGGACGACGACGGCGTCCACGATGACCACTCGGCCACAGCCGCCACCACGGCTGCTGCTGCTGAGCACCTCCTCTTCTTCTCGCCCACGAGCAACAACAGCACCGAGGCCTCACTTTCGGCGGTGAACACGGCGGCCATCTCGCCTGGGACGATTTGTCCTCGAGGCGACAAGGAGGACGAAGACGGTGATGAGGACGAGGATGATGAGGATGAAGTTTACAGCGACGTGATCCTCGGTTGAATCCCTCCTCCTCAATTTCTTTTCTCTCTTTGTCTTTTCTCTGTTGATCCCTTTTCTATTTTTCATTGCTTATTCTCTCTTATTACCATTGTTTTCCTTTCTCTTCTTTTCTCTCTCGCAGCGATTGCGATTCTTAATGCCCTTTTCCCCTGTTAATCATTCTCTCTCTTTTCCTCTATGTTCAGTAAAAAAATAGTTTATTCTCTAGTACCAAAACGAGCTTTCAGCGATTGCCTTTCAACATGAACCTGACTTTGTACGACGGCAGTGTTGTACAACCTTGGTTGTTGTTGACGATATCAAAATGCGACACAAGCGACACCGGTGCCAAAATTGATCATCATCGGCAGCTTTGTTTTGCAGCTCTGTCATCAATCATTCGCTCTTCGAATTTCCAGTTGAGTTTTGTTGTTTTTCTTGTTTGCTTTCTCACTTTTTACTGATCACCTTCAACTCCACTCGCTCACACGCCCGNCGGTGCCAAAATTGATCATCATCGGCAGCTTTGTTTTGCAGCTCTGTCATCAATCATTCGCTCTTCGAATTTCCAGTTGAGTTTTGTTGTTTTTCTTGTTTGCTTTCTCACTTTTTACTGATCACCTTCAACTCCACTCGCTCACACGCCCGAAATGGAAAAGAAGACGATGCCGGTAATGTGTCCATCAAGTCACTTTCACTTTCACAACTGTGTTTCTAATTCCTTGTTTCTACTTTCTATGATCATCATCACCTCACCACCACCAGGACGATCACCAGCAGGCCAAGCGATCGCGGTACTTCTTCGATCCACTCGATTGCCGAAACCAAGAAGAGCCGCGGCACTTAATTGCCAGCAAAAAAGACGAGCAGCCTGCGCCGGCGTCGTCGTCGGCGTATGACTTTCTTAGCAGCTTCCTTACCAACGCCTTTTGTGAGTTTTGTTTACATTGTTGTTGAGTCCAATTGGTTCCCTCTCATGATCTCTCTTTCTCATTCTTTCTAGTCTCACGACCACCGAACATTAACTCTTACGGGCATCTTCTCTTCCTACTCGACGACGTCCCCGAGAGTGTGAAACCGGTGCTGGGAGAGTACCTGCTGACGGTGGCGAAGCACTACCTCGCCGCGTACAATGACAAGCTCGGCGGGTGCACTTCAACGGCCATGTCGCCGGAGGCGGTGACGCGTCAGCTGACGCCCGAGTACCGCCGAACGCTGGCGACGCTGGCCGAGGCGAACCAGGCCGCCGCCGCAGCCGGTAATGGCCACCGCCGGGTGCGCGACCTGGACGGCAAGATCACCGACGGCCACGAGCGCTTGGCGAGGGCGGCGATGATTGAAGAGGAGGAAGGTTTTGAAGAGGGGGAGGCGGCGGCGGAGGAGGCGGAGGACTCCTCACCGGAGGATGACAAGGTGCTGATGGTGCTCACTGAAGACGAGAAGATCAAGGCCTTCTATGAGCGCATCGGCTACCACTTTCATGTGGGAGGTAGTGGTGATGGTGATGATGGCGGAGATGGTCATCAGCCAAAGCCATCATCCGCTGCATCATCATCAACATCGTCGTCATCGTCATCACCAGCAAAAACAACAACAACAGCAGCAGAAGCTTTGAACACGGTCACCAACGAGGAAGTTCAGCAGCTGACGACTACCAGCAAAGCGGTGGATGGAGGAAACAAAGGAGGCAATGGAAAGTGCCCGACGATGACGACCACCAACACCACCTCTTCCCTCTCCTCAATCTTTGACTCTGCGGAGTTTGTCCGCTTCTTTGGAGCTCACCCGAAGATTGGCAAGTGAACACACTTTTGTTGCTGCACACTGCACTTTGTTTTGCACCATACCGACTGCTCACTCATCGGCTGCCCAAACAACTACTACCACTACTACTGTACATTGGATTATGAGTTTCACCACCATCACCCTTTCTTCTTCAGCCACTGTCTTTTGCATGTCTTTTTGCTTTTTTGTTTCTAACACAACTGTGTGTTATTGAATGATTTACCACACACTAACTCCCGCTCACTGTGACACTGTGCTCCTCTTCTAGCCATTTTGCACGCACTTAAACACTCTCTCCAAACTGGACACCTGTGGTCCCTGTTTACCTTCTCTTTTTTGCACAATTAAATTTCATCTTTGTCTACTGTTAAATACGAAAAAGTGGTTTTTATTTTTCCAAACGCAAATATTAAAACCAAATCAAAATCTAATCACAATATTCAAATGAGGTTCAGTAGTTTTTTGTTTTTTATAACAAAAAAACTCTACGTCGCATTTGAATTTTTAGGCCGTTTTCTTAAGCTGTTTTCCAAAATGGAGCTTGTGGTAGTACAAGTTATAGTTTTTAGAAAAAAGCTTATCGGAGTAGTAGACGCGGCCGTAAATGGTGTCCAAGTAGGCACGGCCGTTGTCAAGTGCTTCAGGCTTCAAGATCTGGGCAATGTCGTTTCGGCCGAGAAGAATGTCAACATCTGGAAGTTTATTAACCACATAGGCAAACACTTCAACGGGTGGAGAGTGTCGGTGGGTTAAGGTAAGATTGACCATTTTATTCGTTGAGACGGTTTTCTTAAGGCCTTGCATTTTCAAGGTGTAAGGTACCGTGAAGATAGTTTTAGGCGGTGTTCGGGATCGACTAATGAACGTGCTATTACTGCCCGTGTCAAGGTAGATTTTGAGTGTACTATCATCGTAGCAGTTGCGCCCCAGAATTGTGCAGTCATTGGTGGTGCAGTGAATTCGAATGACCAGGGCGCTTTGACTCATCGATGTACAGCCAAACAGATTGCCCGTGCTTTCAGACCGTTTCATTGCCGTTTCAAAAGAATGTTTCAATTTAGCAGTCGCAGTTCTCGGTGCTTCCCACGACCACTCTTCACTGTTGTGTTGATTTTCAAAGTACTGCTTATTATCGCCATCAAAGACCACTTTCCAGCCTTGAGTCAGAAGACCGGCAGTTGTGTCCAGATCGGTGCAGCTCAGTGATCGGTGAACTAAGTTTATAGTTTTGACGGCTCTCCAACTGAGTACACCTTCGGTGGTGTATGCAATGGTTTCCTCGGAGTAGTAGACTCGACCGTAGATGGTCTCAAAGAAGGCACGACCGCTGCTGTCAAGCGCTTCAGGTTTGAGAATTTTAGGCAAATCTTTGCGTCCGATGATGGCGTCTATTTTAAACAAATTTTTCAAATGAAGAATAACATATCCAATGAGCTCGACGGGCGGACAGTTTGTATGAGTAAGCAAAAATTTGGTTGCTTCATTGCATGAATACAAGCTCTCAATAGTACAAAAATTTACATTCTTTGCTTTAAATGCTTCTTCTGGTTGAGTAATCAGAGATCGGTCAAATTCTGTGTACCAGGCACCGGTGTCTAGCAGGAGGGTAATTGACCGCCCGTTGATGACTCCTCGAAGAAAACTTTTATCTAAAACCGACTGAATTTTCATGCGAAGTTGGCAGAGACTTTTGTAAATTATTCTATCCTTCTCATTGGCCACTTCCCTCGGGTCACTCCACGTGCTTGAACGCCTGTCACTCCTCCTGAAGAAGTATGGCTTTCCTGCGGCAGTGTATAACATTTTCCAGTCGGCTGGTAGCCGGATAGAGTCAATGTCAGTGCAGCTCATCGTTCGTGAGAATCCACCTGGTGACACTGAAGCAGACGATCTGCTTTTGCCGCCATCAAAGAAAAAATTTGCATCCGAGCAGCTCCGAGATCTGGCAGTCCTTCTGCGGGCTTTGCTGGAATCAGTGTTGGAAGAAGTGATTGGCTGGACATTATTAATATTTCCGGTGGTGGACATTTCTGAAATGACCGTCTGCATCTTCGACGTTATGATCAATGTTGTTTTATAGCCGGTGATGAACATCCACACACAAACGATTGCTCACTGAAAGACAACAAGGTAACTTGAGACATGTTGAGGAGACCACGTGTCTGTGTGTTCAGTAGGTGCGCAACTGCGATTCTGCTTCTGCTGCTGCTCCCTCCTGCTGTTCCCTGTCCTGCAAGTGCAACCGTCCAACAGTCCCCTGTGATTTCACAAACTAGNTGATTTCACAAAAACTAGTTTTCTGTTTTCTGTTCAAGTCTCTTGCTAACTCAAGCGTGTGCGCACCATAGATTTGTGGTCTCTGGACATTAGAACAGCTAACAGAAAGAGGGGCAGAATCTCGATTTGCGGGAGGGCAAGTTACTCTTTCAAATGCTTATTTTTTATTTTAATTGTTAACAAAATTCAGAACTTACCAATTCAGCACAATTCTAAAAAATTCTGTTCACTGTTCTAAACAAGCTTTATAACACATTGACACACACACAGGAAAAATTTCATTTTTGCACCATTGACACAATCATTTTTTGCTGTTGTCACCACGTCAGCTGCTGCGTCAATTTGTTTTTCCCAGTTTGTTTCTTCTCTCATCAACCCAGCAAAAAAAATTTTTTCAATCACAATGCCAACTTTCCAGTTCGGGACGGTGGTTGTCACCTTCTTCCTCTTCCTCCTATCCATTTGTCTGCGCAACGGCGTCAGTGAACAAGCAGTAAGTTTTCACGTTTTTTTTGTTGTTATTCACCCTATTTCTACTCTTTTTCCCTTCAACCAGGAGGAGGACGCCTGCAAGCGCATCGTCTCTGACAAGGTCTTCGCCACCGACCCCATCCTCTGCATCGGCCAGCTGAAGG